GGTCAATGGAAATCAGGTTGAAGAAGTAAGGCCTGACCTGGCTGAAGCTGATATGGTTGTATTCCTTGGTGATTTCAACTATCGGCTTTATGGCATCTCATATGATGAAGCACGGGACATGGTTTCACAAAGAAGCTTTGATTGGCTAAGAGAGAAGGATCAGCTTCGAGCAGAAATGAAAGCTGGAAAGGTATTTCAAGGAATGCGTGAAGGACTGATCAAATTTCCTCCAACCTACAAATTCCAGAAGCACGCTCCAGGTCTCGGAGGTATGTATGCATTCTTGCTTTCATTTAATTACTTTTTATACAATTGGTTAGGTATTTCTACCCCTGACACACATGGTAATCCATGTTTCTTTCTTTGCATCATCAGAGCTGAAAGTTATTTGTCGACTGCCTTGTAGGGTACGATTCGGGTGAGAAGAAGCGGATACCCGCTTGGTGTGATAGAGTACTGTACCGTGACAGCCGTTCTGTATCAGTAGCAGAATGTTCACTAGAGTGCCCTGTAGTTGCTTCAATTACATCGTGAGATACTATTCACCCTTTGCACCCCTTGAGATGGCCCGTCAATCCTTTTATCCATACTCAATTTTTGTTCTTTGATAGGTATGTGGCATGCATGGAAGTCACAGAGAGTGATCATAAACCTGTGAGGTGTACATTTAGTGTTGACATTGCAAGAGTTGATGAGTTAACAAGAAGACAAGAGTATGGAGAAATAATTGAATCAAATGAAAAAGTGCGTTCTCTACTTCAAGAATCTTGTTTTGTTCCAGACACCACAGTTAGCACAGGTGAAATTACGCTGGAAAAGCAAGAGAATATTGTCTTCCAAATTACCAATAAGTGTGAAACAAGCAAGGCATCTTTTGAAATCCTATGTGACGGACAGTCAACCAAGAAGGAGGATGGAACTAAATCAGAACTAGTTCCAAGGGCATCCTTTGGTTTCCCACTTTGGCTTGAGGTAAGAACTATTGTACTAGAACCTTGCTATGCGTACGACCAGTGATACAAGTCGGTTCCGACTATAAGCATCAGAGGAGGGCCACAAGATTGGTCGTAGGCATTGCTATTTCCATTGTACCATCATACATTGGAATTCCTGATACACCATTTAGACGTGAATTACTTTCATAGTATCATCTATTATAGTTTGCATTTCTTTTTCTAAATAGTGAAGGATATTTCAACTTCATTACTAAAGCTTAAACATCTTCTTGATTTATGCTAGGAAACATCCTCAAATATGATCCTTTGATGATTAGTTTATAACAACCTAGAAAATATATGATAAACAAACCAACTCTTCTAAGTACTGATAATTTGTCATGAACAAAAAGTTGTTACTGGACATAATACATAAGTATCTAGTGTCAGGGTACAGTTAATCCACTATATGGCATAGGTTCTTTTGTAAACAAAAGTTTTCTTTCAGTTGCTAATTTTCTGTATCATACAGGTCCAACCAGCGGTTGGTCTTATTAAACCAGGCGAAACGGTGGAGATTACAGTCCATCACGAAGATTTTTACACACAGGAAGAGTTTGTAGATGGAATACCACAAAATTGGTGGTGCGAAGATACCAGGGATAAGGAAGCTGTTCTAAGAATAATCATATCAGGTAGCACCTCAACTGAAACCAAGACACACACCATCAATGTTCGGCATCACTGCCCGGCAGCATCAGCTCCCCCACCTATCATCAATCCACCAGCAGCTGCCGTTCCGCCAAGCAATGTCCTGTCCACCGAGGCACATTCAAAACGTTCTTCCAAGAAGAGCCAGTCACGTCATCAACAGCAGCAGCAACAAGATTACGCGCAATTTTCGAGCTCAGAGGTACATGACCTGTGCCGCATGCGTTGTCCGTGAAACTTGTAAAAAGATACTAAAGTTCTGATCTAGGAGATGGGAATCACGAATCTTAGATTTCTCACATAATCAGGGAGGAGTTGCTCCAGTTTTGTACATATGCTTCACTTACCTCTGTCAGCTGCCATTCTTTCATGTAGCCCAAGGAGTCTAGAGTCATGAGTTTACACTGCTAATAATTTCTTTTGTTTTTTCTTAAAGAGCTTCCTCTAGAGAACTGAATTCAGGGAGAGTTATCTTGTGCATGAATAACACTTAATGTAATGTCACATAGAATTAATTTAGGTTTGTCCCCTTTTACTCGAAAATGCTAATGATCTTGTACTTCGTCGTGACTATTTGTTTTGTCAATAAGATATGGATTCTTTGTTCCCCTGAATCATTACATAATGGACTTTGATTTAGTGTCACTGAACTCAAAATTTTGGACATCCTCCTCGAAGGTAGTGATGCTTTCTCACTGTTCAGATAAATCTAGTTGATGTTCTTTAGCTGAATAGAACGAAATGCAGTCAAATTTTGAACAATACTAGACTTATTCTTCTTCCCAGGTAAAGATATTAGGATCCGAGTTCTCCATTCTGTAACTAACTAATTGCAGGACAGCTGTTAAAAAGTATTGGAACAATGCATCGGTCAAACTTATTTTTTGACGCAAATTGGTAGGTGCACTGCCGTTTCATTAAGATAGGAGCAAAAGAGACAAATAAAAAGGTCTTACAGGCAGCTCATGGCTGACTCAAATAGGAGTGTTCTGAGCTAAGCAAACGAAAAATTAAAAAAAGTTGGTTCCCATGGCCAACTGGCTGGCCAAGAGAGACAAGCACAGTTGCTAATTAAAATTGTTCCGCGCCTTGTTCTGCCCGACCACTACTTTCCCCATTTGCCAAATTGTAAAGCCCGATCTCCTCCTTTGCTAGTAACGCAACCCGGGTTTGGTCCATCATCTTGTTTTCGAAAATACGGCGATTGCGCTCCTTCCAAATATTCCACCATGTGTAGAAGATTACTCCAGCTGCTGTTCTTCGTTGTTGCTTGCTTATAGCACTTGTGTCAAACTTAAGAAACCTGATCACTACACACTAATGCATTTAGATAAGCTCAACTAGAAAGTACGTGCGGCTTCTTCAGTTGTTTAGCTATCTTCCTGGTTTGATGGCCCCCGTTTTACCAGGTATCAATTTGCTGAATGAAATGGAAAATTATAATCTGGATGCCTATTGAGAAGATAAAGGGCCTGTTCGTTTCCTTTAGTCCTAAAGTTTAGTCTAGAGAATCTTACTATTTAAAAGTATTAAATAAAGTCTAATTATAAAACCTTTTTACAGATGTGTGCTAATTTACGAGACGAATCAAACGAGCCTAATTAAGTTATGTTTTGCTATAGTGATGCTACAGTAACCATCGTCTAATCACGGCTTAATTACCGTCATTAGATTCGTCTCGCAAAGTAGCTTAGGTTTCTGTAAATTTTTTTGTAATTACACTTTATTTAATACATTTAAATAGCAAGAACTTTGGACTAAACTTTAGTCCTAAACTTTGGACGAGTGTTTATGTACAATAGACATTTTGCGAACAAAAAAATTGTCCAATGAACCCGAAAGACAAAACAATTGTCAAATTAATGAACTTAAAAGGTTCCATACATCGTGGTGCGTGATGAAATAGATCGCAAATGAGAATATGATTGCAGTTGCTGACTCCTTTTCGGATATTTCAAACTATGGGATTTGGTGTTTAAGAGAATACTATAAATTGTCGTTTTTCAGCAAATCCCTTAACTCATGGTCTGCTCAAGAGATCCGTAAACTCGCCATGAGGAAAGTAAATCCCTTAACTCATGGTCTGCTCATGGTCATGCTTTCAAAAAGTACTCTATGCCAAACCCACGACCCGGAAAAGAAAAGGTTAAACGGAGCAGAATGAAAAATGACATTCCCAATAGCAAGCGTACATCAACATTATGACAAGCAATTCGAAAAAAAATAATATGACAAGCAGAGCTGAAGTGATGAAGAGACGTGTTGCTAAAGAAAGTCATTGTGAAGCATGTGGTAATCCAGATGAACCTGACTTCCATTCCATGTTGCAGCTAAGTGCGCCTTTGGTACGTCAAAGAAATCACAGCAAGAAACCACCTCCATTGTACCCTTCAACACGGGCAAAGGACCTAGTTAGTGGAAGACTTTGCTCCAGTAGTCAGGGCCAGACCCAAGAGCTGTAAAATGGTATACTAGTGGTACCACTACCCGGAAAATGACGTCCCCAATAGCAAGCGTGCATCAATATTAATTTTATGCCGCCAAAAGCTGAATTTAGCTTCCTCGAAATTTACGTCCTCGAATAATCCTAAGCGCCCTTGTTGGGTCTGGCCTTTTTTTTTGAAAAAAAATAATTCTCTCCTCCAAGACTCCAACCACAGCGCTATAGTATATTAGTGCAGTGGTAGCACTTCTTTTTCGTAGGAGGGGATTACTAAACCCTCTCTTTTACTCTAGCTCAGTGAGTGGTGGCTGTTGACTGTTTCCCGCCCGCCCGCCTTCCCCTTCCCTTTCCCTCCTCCTTCCAGCTTCCCCCGCACTCCCCGATCCGTGGCAGATGCTGGCCGCAGCCATGGCGCCCTCGCCTACGCCCCAGCCAGCGTTTAACTCAGGTACGAGCGCGTCCTGGGTTTTCCCGTTTCTCCTGGGTTCCTTCCTTGTGCTCTCGTGCTGATAACAGGCTCGCTCTGTTCCCGAAGGGGATCCGCTCTACTCGGAGCTCTGGCGCGCGTGCGCCGGCCCGCTTGCCACCGTCCCGCGCCCCGGCGACCTCGTCTTCTACTTCCTTCAGGGCCACATCGAGCAGGTACCCGCCGCTGCTTGCTTCCACTCCTCGTCTCGAGCTCGTTTGCTATGTCCCAGGCGCTGATTTTTGTTGATGTTCCGTGTTGTTACACTACACAGGTGGAGGCGGACACGAACCAGGTCGCCCAAAACCAGACGCGCCTCTACAACCTGCCATCCAAGCTGCTCTGCCGCGTCCTCAACGTCGAGCTCAAGGTCTCCCCCTCCCTCTGTTTCGCTGTTCCCCATTTTTGGTGCCCAATTATGTTCTCAAGGATTTTCTTTCTGAAAGCATTCTTAGTTCGGTTTGGTAGAATGATGGTCTTCAAACCCGATGTCGTAGGTTCAAATCCTACAGGGATAATTATTTTTTTCCTTACAACTTGAAATTGGATTCAAAAGAAAGCGATAAAATGAAAGAACTACCTCTTTCCGAAGCCAGCCCCCTTTCTCTGTCTCGCGCAATGTTATCTAATGTTCCGCGAATTCTACAGGCGGAGCCGTACACCGATGAGGTCTACGCCCAGATCATGATCATGCTAGAGCCCGAAGTAAGCGCCTCCTGCAGGGATTTATTTTAGACTTGATGGGTCTTTTTTTTTTTTTTTTGGCCAAGATATCCTTACTTGGGCTCGGATTCTTCATGCAGCAAAACGAAGTGGCGGCAGTCGACAAGGCGAGTTCGGGGTCGATCGCCACGCTGCCGAGGCCAGCACTCAGCTCCTTCTGGAAGACGCTCACTCCCTCCGACGTTAGCACACACGGTGCTTTCTCTCTGCTGCGCCGGCACGCTAACGACTGCCTCCCTCCCCTGGTGTGTGTCTTATCCTAACCCTGTGCGGTTTTCTGCTATTATATTACCTACTAAGTGACCTGATTACTGCTTTGCTCGGCAGGATATGACTCAGTCGCCTCCCACTCAGGAGCTAGTGGCTAAGGATCTGCATGGCATAGAGTGGCGCTTCCGCCACATCTTTCGCGGTAATTTGTGCTCCATGCACTAGACTTGTCAATGCTTTGGGATTGGCAGTATTGGATCATTACTTGAAGATCTCTAGATGCACTACGGAAGACCCCTCTTTGCCCCTTTTGCACTCGGCAAAGGCTTTGCCGAGCAAAGAGCCCACGCCTTATTTTTATCGGCAAAGAGTTATTGCCGAGAGTTTTTTATTGGACTACTCGGCAAACACTTTGCCAAGTGCCCTGACGGCTCTCGGCAAAATAAAGTAACTTGACGGCCGTCACCTTTTGTTTGCCGAGTGCCCTAACGGCAGGCACTCGGCAAACAAGCCTTCTTTCACGTGATCTTAACCTACATAGTAATTGGAGATTAGCTTAGCCATCGGTTGTCTTTTATGCGTTGCATGTGGCACGATAAACAGCCTATTTTTGTATTTATTTTGATGATGATTGTTAACTGTATTCAAAATTGTCAGGGCAACCTAGGAGACATCTCCTTACGAGCGGTTGGAGTGCTTTTGTTAGTTCCAAAAGCCTTGTTCCTGGGGACGCTTTTGTTTTCCTCAGGCATGTCATCGTTTCCTGCCTACTCAGCATACCAATTTCCTGACCCAGTACTAAATTTCAGTTGTTTTCCATGCAGAGGAGAGAATGGTGATATTAGAGTTGGTGTTAGGCGGGCTATGAGACAGCTATCTAATGCGCCTTCTTCGGTCATATCTAGCCAAAGCTTGCACCTTGAAGTACTTGCAACTGCATGGCACGCTATCAACACGAGAAATATGTTCACTGTGAACTACAAACCTAGGTATGGTGACACACATCTGCAATGATGTGATTTCATCTTACATATTTCTACGATTCTTCTCATATTTGAGGCTTGCTTGCATCTTACCTAGGTGTATGGTGACACACATCTGCAAATACTATATCTAAGTTAACCTCCAATTCGTTCTCATATTTGAGGTAGTAAATTTGTGTCTGATCTATGTATGTCAATATCAGGACGAGTCCTTCAGAGTTCATCGTACCGTATGATCAGTATATGGAGTCAGTAAAAAACAATTATTCCATCGGGACGAAATTCAGGATGAGGTTCGATGGGGGTGAGGTACCAGAACAGAGGTAACTGCCGTATTTTCCTATCCCATGATTGTAGTTTTTTTAACCCAAGTGATTATATCCAATGCCATTATCTTGTGATGCAGGTTTACTGGAACTGTAGTTGGTTGGGAAAATCTAGACCCGCTATGGCCTGAATCCAGTTGGAGATGCTTAAAGGTGACAATTGTTTGTTTGATGTTCCCAATTTGCCGTTATGGTGTGAAGTCATGTGTTCATGAAGGATTGCTTCTTGATTTCAGGTGCGTTGGGATGAGCCTTCTACTATTCCTCGTCCCGATAGAGTTTCCCCATGGAAGATAGAGCTTGATTCCTCATCTTTGATCGTTGCAATGGCACAGCATAAATTATCCGATTAAGGCTTAGTGTACAAGCCAGTTTTATGTTTAGTGTCTTCTGCTGGTGAGTCCAATCAAAATGTTAATCAAGGAATCTGCAATTCAGAGTCTAAACAACAAGCAGCGGTTCCCTGTAAGGTTGTATAGGAAGTAGTAACCTGTAATTCAGTTGTGTAGTTACACGCTAGTGGTTGAGCTTCCTGGGGCATGCTTTGTTCTAGAAGGATGTGAAATACTGTATCATGTAGAAAGATGTGCATTGAGACCGATTACTAGAAAAATCGTGCCGCGTTGCTTACATTACTATTGGTTGTTTGATCCCTGTTGTTAACGTCAAACATATCACATATTTAATTTGGAGGCTTATACTGGACTGAAATACACACTTTATGGCCGGTTACAAAGTATTTTGAAGCTTTTAGGCAATACCATGATATCCTAACAAAATTATGGTATAAAAACCGGTACTTTGTCCAACAGTGTTTAAAAAAGCGGCCGCCTAGGTGTTAGGTGGAGCTCTACCACTTCGCTTTCAACTAAGTTGTTAATTAAATATTTTTCTCTATTTTTTCAACAAACATGTGTTAATATACATGTTTTTACTATTTTTCTTTATTTTTATGCTTATTTACTAAAAGTACAAACGCCTAGAACCGCCTAGGACCGCTTAAGCGCCGATTAGGCGTTAGGCGGTGCTCAACCGCTCACTTAGTTCATCCGCTTTTTAAAACACTATGTCCAATAGCATGATATTTTTGGAGTATTTAAAAATCAGCTCCTGGCCTTTTTTTTATGGAAATTGAGCGTTGGTCAGTGATAAATACGTTCACTGCCATGTGTTACACATCAATGACGACAATAAGAGTCTATTGGTAGGGCTTCTCCGTTAGTTTGTTCAGTGGCTTCACGTGATTCCTAACCAAAATGGATGTTTTTTCAGATGCTTTTTCTTAAAAAAAAATAGGAAGCCACACTAAAAAAAAGGATGAAGCAGGAAGCCACGAAATGGTGGCTTCATCGGCTTTTCTTCCCCACCATGCCTTCTTCTTTGCATATTTGTTTCTAAAAATAAGGAGAAGCTACAGAATAAGTTTTAGGCACAGCCGCAGACACAGCCAGCACGTCCGTTTTTTCAGAGAAGCCACAGCCACAGACGAAGTCGGCGCATTCACAACCCTACCAAAGAGGCCTTAACATTGACACCATTACCCGTTGGTCGTTACATACAAATGTGCCACTGTACTTGTTTGCAAGATCGTTGTCGTAACGAAATGTTTGGTTGTTTATGTGACAATATGTGTTTTGAAAATAGTCGTGTCAATATGTATTGTATTGTTATGATACACATAAAACAAAATACTAGATCATACCGTAGAAATATTCTGAAGTATATGTGTCAAGCTTTTTTATTTTTCATTATGAAGACAACTTATACTCATAGGGGTTAATTTAAAACAGAATAATGTGCAATCAATACTGGAGAATCCAAACACAACATTGTTTTTATTAAACTGCAAAATATTAGACTCAACAAACTCTGGTATTTTATAACTCACACAACAAATTAAAACCTTGGTTTTCAAAAACTGTGATTTCTAAATATTGTAATACCCAAAATAGAGCCTAAAACTGTTAGGATTAGATCGCGATGTGCCATTGACCTCACATATATACATATATATAGGGGTCGATGCCAACCAAAGACAACAGCATGTCAATCTCCTATAGTTCTATATACATGTTCCTCCCGAGTAGGCAATGGCGCAAAGCCATGCCAAGGTAATCAAGGCATCTGATCGATTGTCTAAATAAAAATGTTAGAAAAGGAACAATGCAAATTACTTACATTTGAGGGCTACTCCTGTGCACTGAGATACACCTGCTATATCTCATATGCATGGCATATGTCTTTCCTTTTGTTGAAGGGAATGGATGGCAGCTGTTGTTCCATGACATTGATAAAGTTGAGGAGGTGACAATATTTTGAATTTTGATTTTGAAAAATTGTTGGCCAAGGTTGCTAAGATCGAAATGGGCAAAAATCGATTGGTTTTGGTCTAAATCTTTTTTTTATATAGAAAAAATTGAATGAAAATTTATCTGGCCGAAACCGGCCAGTATAGAAATACATGTGGGGACCGATAAAACCGAAATTTGGCGAATATGGTTGAATCTTTTCACTGGTTGGTGACGGCCATGCATAATGTTGGGGAAGAAGCCGAAGTGCCTGCACTACGTGGGAGCTTGATGGTGGTGGCCGGAGAGGACGGTGAAGCCATGGGCGATCCAGAGACATCTTCGTTCTAAGCTGATTGGAGATTAAAAGCCCATCATCATTATAAAATTTGTCACGTTGCCATAGCCCTGGCAAATTGTGCGGGCATCAAGCCGCGTGGGCAAAAAGCGTAGCAGCGAAAAAAAAGAGAGGATGCCAGAGCATCGTTATTGTTGGGCGAATAGAGATGGAAGGTGCTGCAGCGACATATGTAGGTTGGGGGCCTTGGGGCAAGAATGCGACCCGAGTTCGTTCACATAACGGTTATAAACTTAGAAAGAACCAACTAATCATGTGTGAACATGGGCGAAGCTACATTCAGCCTCCGAGTGCACGGGCATCAGAGAAAAAAATGAACCTTCAAATTATAATTTTATTTTCAGCTCATGTGCATCACTAATATCATCTATGGTTTGCTAAACTTTAACGATGAAAACTAAAAAAAATAATTAAAAAAGTAAAATACACATTTGATCGTTATTTTTTTTTAAAAAAAAACGCCTGAAAAAAGTTCAGGAATGTCTAGACGAAGGTGTGAAGAAAACACAAAACCAATCAGACCACTCCTCGCGCAGGGCCTAAACCCTCTTCGGCTTCGGCCACCCCACCTGCCGGTCCTCCTTCTCCCCCAGCTTGCCGTCCCCATGGCGCCCAAGGTCCTCATGGTAA